CTCTCTCTCCCTGTGTCTCTCATAAATAAATCTTTTTAAAAATAAGATTTTAATTTTAATTAATTAAAATTAGTTCATATTTAGTACATAGTGTGTTTTAGCTTTAAAAATTCTTATTGCCTTACAGGAGTTATTTCAGTAATATGTACCTGTTGTACAGAAAAATTAAAGGAAGAATCAAAGAAGTAATTAAACAGAACATTCACCTTCAAAAATAATTTGTGTGTAAGAGTGTGAGGCATAAGTAGATGTTGTGCAGCACATTTCATATAGATATGAATCTTGCCCTCTAGGGGTCTATGATTTAAGCCTGGCACTACTTAACAAGATAAACACAAAAAAGGGCAAGCAGGCAACTGAAAAATAAACATGGGAATACATACAAATAGAAAGATTAAATATTTACATCCATTGTGTACAAGACCATGGTCTTAATAGAAATGCATCTGGGGATGTGGGGGGAAGGGCAGAGGTGGAGAAGTCAGCAGACAACCCTGTCTATTTAGGAGAGAAATAGAAAAACATTGTGCCAACAAGTGGTAGCAACTAGAAACCTACCCCCTACCTCCCCCCAAACCCTCGCCCCCCCCACACACACACACACAGGTTCCCCTTTATTGATAATACAAGACTACTACTGCGTTAGTTTCCCGGGCTGCCACTACTAACTACCACAAGGTGGGAGGCTTAAAGCAACAGAAATGTATTCTTTCACAGTGCTGGTAGCTACAAGTCCAAAATCAAGGTGTTGGCAGGACTGGTTCCTCGTGGTAGGCTCTAGGGAAGAAGCTGTCATGCCCCTCGGCTCCTAGTGGTTGCCCACAATCCTTGGTGACCTCAGCTGTAGAGCATCCCTCCAATGGCCATCCTCCCCCTGTGTCTCTGTGCCCTCACGTGGTGTTCTCTGGGTATGTGTCTCTTCTCCTCTGCTAAGGACCAGGCATATCAGAATAAGGATCCACCCTCTGGACGCCAGACACACACACACACACACACACACACACACACACACACAGTGGCTCAGCTGGTGAAGCGTCTGCCTTCAACTCATCAGGTCATGATCCCCAGGGCCTGGGATGAGAGTCCATCTAGGCTCCTTGCTCATCAGGGAGTCTGCTTCTCCCTCTGCCCCTCCCCCCTGCCCATAATCTCGTTCTCTCTCTCTCATGCTCACTCTCTCTATCAAGTAAATAAAGTCTTTAAAAAAGAATCCCCCCAAGTACAGTATGACCTCACCTTAATTATTCAACTCAATTTAACTACCAAACAGCCTATACTGGTGCCTACTCTCCTTAGGAGGTCAAAATGTGTGCAGGAAAATGTATATAATGAGTTAACTGCAGGCAAACTTGGCACAAAATATTCACATTTCTTTTACACCTAATCGATTTATTTATAGGATAAATAAAATCCAGGTGAATTTAGCAATGACAGTGTCCACATAGTGAGAAGTAAAGTTGCAATTTAGCAGTTCCTTGGTTAGTTTAAGCTATGTAAAGGTGGGTCAAAAAATTTTGGTCCAGGGACACCTGGGGGGCTCAGTGGCTGAGCATCTGACTTGGGCTCAGATCATGATCCCAGGGTGCTGGGATCAAGCCCCGTGGGGAGCCTACTTCTCCCTCTGCCTGTGTCTCTGCCTTTCTCTGTGTGTCTCTCATGAATAACTAAATAAAATCTTAAAAAAAAAAATCGGTCCAAAATGTACTGTTTGGGGCCTGTTTCCAAGGTCAAAGACAAGGACCAGACCCTCACATTCCCCTGTGCTGTGAAGTGAAAATGGATGAAGATACCACAACATAAAATCATATACCTTTACAATGGAAATGGAACTCAAGTCCCACCCATCACTCTTGAAGTCTCATCTCCTCAGCATGGCCCCCTGAGCCTGCCACCTGGCCAGCCAAAGTGTCCATCCCCTCTGCCCTGCCCCCCTTCCTCCCCACAGGGAGCTCCAGACTTCAGAATTACCTTTGTTTGGTTCATCAGGCAGTCCCAGCTCCCTTCATTTCTCACGTGGCCAGTTCCTGCTTCTTTAGACCTCACCTCCATCCCTGACCACCACTCTCCCCATGCCAATGACAATGTGTCACACACACACCCATGCTTCTGCAAGCCCCATGCTTCCCCCATACCAATAGCTCTCAGGGCCTGGAAAGCGTCCCACCCTGGCTGTCTGTATCATACCCGACGCCCTAGTGTAAAGGGCTACAGTTGTCTGCCCTTACTCATCTTTCATCTCTGATTCAGCAGCTGCTCAATAAATAGTTGTGGAATAAGTAAAATAAATGGGAAAATGTATGTTAAGTGTTAAGAAAAAGGGCTAAGGTGATTTCCCCCAACATATACCAGGAGTGTTTATTTATAAACAATGTAAACATGCATACTTTGCTATATTTTGTGTACATTTCTATAAAGAAGCAGACTAGTCATCTTTGCCCCCATCCCCAACATTTGTTATATGACACTCTTCTCAGGGTTACTGGCTTTCAGAAGCCTGGGCCTGGAGGCACACACCTGTTTCTAAAGGAGTCTCCAAAATCAAAAGAGGTCAAAACAGTTGTCCACAGTTTTCAGACACCATAATATCTCCTTAAAAAACATTTCTCCCACTCAACATAATGTTGAGAGGGAAATTATTATAGAACAACTCATATAACATGGATCACACCATCCACTTATGGAACACTGCAGAAATCCACAACAATCTATGTAAGAATAGAAGTGCAAGGTCATAATGTTCATCAAAATGCAAACCATGATTATCCGAGCTGGAATTCCAAATGACACCGGCTTTCTTTGCATTTTTCTTTTTAACTTTTATAATGAATAGCTATCATTTTTACAAAAGCAATCAAGTTGTTTTGGGAGGAAAAATTTTTTTTGTTTTTCTTCCAAAATTATCTCCATTTTCCCCTTAATTATATTTCACTCTCACAGGTATTTCTTTCCTTTTCTTTCTTGCTATCATCTTGTCTGAGGAAATATTAAAACAAAGCCCACCATACAATCATGATTCCTGACTAATATAATCAGGTTCAGAGTTCTGGGGCTCCCCCTGCTTGGGTACAGCTGCTATTAAGCAAAGTAAAAAGGGTTTTTTCCAAATGAAAAATGAATGGTGTTGCTCTGTCTTTCCCCTATTCTTAATAATCGTAATCTTCACCACTTCCAGCTGGTGCTCTGCCTAACACCTACAGAAGTTATATTCATTTGGTGCAAATCTCTTCCCCTCCCCGTGTCCACGTTCCTGTCCCTTCGAATTCCCCATTCCATTGAACATAGTGGGTGCTCAATAAATATTTATGAAACTATTACCCCAGTGGGCTGCATCTGAGGAAGAGGAGTGAGAGAGCCAGTGAAGGAGGGCAACTGGGAGGAACTGAAATTCTAGGGGCTGAGTGTAAGACAGACAGAGAGGGGCTTAAAGTCCTGCCAGCGGTTTTCTACTTTTCCCACCACTGGGAGGCTAGGCACTGACCCTCAGTTGCAGACATTATAGTTTTTCTGTAGGTTGCCAGCATCCTTCCCTCCCTTGTCTTGACCTGCCTTTGCCAGCTCAGTGACATCTCTGTCACTGGAAGGAGGAGCATCACACACCTGCAGCTGGGAAGGCAAACAGGCCGGTAAACACTGTAGAGATCCCAATGAGCAGCACCAACGGTAGGGGTGGCCAAGGAGGCCCAGGTAGACAGGTAACAACACCTAGCTAGCAGCACACAGCCCTCCCTGAGCAAGTACAACCAAACCCCTGCAACTACAACATGCTCGGCTGGAGCTACCCCTTCATTGGGAACGTGACATGGGTGGGTATTTCCACTGGCTCTCCTCTCCACTGTCTCCAAAGTTTATTTATTTATTTATTTTTAATTTATTTATTCATGACAGACACAGAGAGAGAGACAGGCAGAGACACAGGCAGAGGGAGAAGCAGGCTCTATGCAGGGAGCCTGACGTGGGACTTGATCCCGGTGTCTCGAAAGTTTATTTTTTTTAAAAAAAAATCTATTTATTTATTTATGATAGACACAGTAAGAAGGAGAGAGAGAGAGAGAGAGAGAGACAGGAAGAGGGCAAAGCAGGCTCCATGCTGGGAGCCTGATGTGGGACTCGATCCTGGGACTCCAGGATCACTCCCTGGGCCAAAGGCAGGTGCCAAACCACTGAGGCACCCAGGGATTCCCCCATCTCCAAAGTTTAAATTTTTTTAAATTTTTATTTATTTATGATAGGCACACAGTGAGAGAGAGAGAGGCAGAGACACAGGCAGAGGGAGAAGCAGGCTCCATGCACCGGAAGCCCGGAAGCCCGACGTGGGATTCGATCCCGGGTTTCCAGGATCGCGCCCTGGGCCAAAGGCAGGCGCCAAACCGCTGCGCCACCCAGGGATCCCCCCATCTCCAAAGTTTAAATGAAACTCTGGGGGCAGCCCGGTGGCTCAGTGGTTTAGTGCCACCTTCAGCCCAGGGCGTGATCCTGGAGACCCGGATATATATATATATATATATATATATATATATATATATATATTATATATTATATATTATATATAAATATACTATATATAAATATAAATATATATATAAATATATAAAATAAATGTAACTCTGGGGCCTGGTGCATAGGAGTGGGTCCCTCGTGGGCCAGTGGCCCAGACCTGCCACCCCACCCCCACCTGCCCGCAGGGCCTCCTAAACTCGCAGCATCCTTCTGTGACCTCATTCCCTGCCCCTGGTTCCATGTGCCACTCTGTGACTTCATCACGGGAATCCCTGGTGCAGCTACCAGGCTCCAGAGGCCCCCAGAGCCCCGCTCCTTACAGACCAGTCTGGGGAGTGGTTGAGGGCTGAGCTCTCTGCAGGCACATCATCCCTGCAGGCTCCGGGAGCGCCCCCTTCTCCAGACAGCAGCTACTGGGCATTGGGCACCTTTCTTCGCCGACCCCCCTCCAAGAAGCGCCGAAGGTCGGCTTCCGGGCGCCCCCGCCCCCGCTTCCAGAGGCGATGGCCGGCGGAGCCACAGCGGCGCCGCCTCTGCCCGAGCGCCTGGGGCCGGGGCCGGGGCCGAGACGGCGCGCCAGGGGCCCGGGGGCGCAGGAGGAGCACCTGCTTTGCAGCGTGCTGGCGGCGCAGACCTTGGCCAGGGTCATCCGGCCTTGCTACGGGCCCCACGGCCGGCAGAAGCTCCTGGTCACCGCCAGAGGAACCACCGTGCTCACGGGCTCCGCGGCGGCCATCCTCCGGGCGCTGGAGCTGGAGCACCCCGCCGCGCGGCTGCTGCGCGAGGCGGCCCACACGCAGGCAGAGAGCTGCGGCGACGGCGCGGCCTTCGTGGTTCTGCTGGCGGAAGCCCTGCTGCAGCAGGCCGAGCACCTGCTGCGCGCCGGCCTTCCCCGCTCCCAGCTGCGCGAGGCCTATGCCGCGGCGACCGCGGAGGTCCTGGCCCTGCTGCCCTCCCTGTCCATCCGCTCGCTGGGGCCGCTGGAAGATCCCTTCTGGGCCCTCTATTCGGTGATGAACACCCACTCCGCATCCCAGATGGACTACCTGACCAAGCTGGTGGCACACGCTTGCTGGGCCACCAAGGAGCTGGACGGCAGCTTCCACCGCGAGCGCGTGGGGGTGTGCACCCTGCCAGGGGGCAGGCTCGAGGACTCATGCCTGCTCCCGGGGATGGCCCTGTCCGCGAAGCCCTGCGGCCAGGTGATCAGCGTGCTGCACGGGGCCAGGGTAGCGCTCTTCGTTTGCGCCTTCGGGCCCGCCAGCCCAAATGCACCTGCTACAGCCCGCCTCTCGAGCTCTGCTGACCTAACTAAATTTAGGAAAGGCAGTGAACAGCTGATAGAAAAGCAGGTGGCCCAACTGGTAACTGCATGTATTAACGTGGCGGTGGTGTGGGGGAACATCGATGAGAATACAATGACGCTGGCCGATAAGTATGGCATCATGGTGATTCAGGCCAGGTCCCGGAGGGACATGGTTTACCTGAGCGAGGTGTTGGGTACACCTCTGATGCCTTATCTGATTCCTCCCCTGAAGCCAGGGAAGTGCCAGAGGGTATACCAGCAGGACCTGGGGGAAGGTATGGCCGTTGTCTTTGAGTGGGAATGCCCGGGCACCCCTGCCCTCACCATAGCCCTCAGGGGGGGCACCGCAGAGGGGCTGAAGAGTGCAGAGCAGGCTGCCTACCATGGCATCGATGCCTACTTCCAGTTGTGTCAGGATCCCAGACTGCTCCCAGGAGCTGGGGCCACAGAGATGGCTCTGGCAAAAATACTCTCAGAAAAAGGAAGCAGGTTGGAAGGGCTTAATGGGCCTGCCTTCCTCGCATTTGCACAGGCCCTTCAGTCTCTTCCCGAAACCTTAGCCGAGAATGCAGGCCTAGTGGTCTCAGAGGTCATGGCAGAGATGAAGGGGGCTCACCAAGCTGGGAACTTGCTGGTAGGCGTTGGGGTTGAGGGGATCATCAACGTGACCCAGGAAGGGGTGTGGGACACCCTGGTAGCCAAAGCCCAAGGACTTCGAGCCGTAGCTGATGTGGCCCTACAGCTCGTGAATGTAGATGAAATTGTAGTGGCCAAGAAAAGTCCCATGTGTCAACAGGACTTGAATCCTGTTCCTAAGAAGGCAAAGGAATGCCTATCTCCTGTGAAAAAGTCAAATCCTTGGAACAATTAAGTAGCAATATCTGCAATAAAATGGGGATTGCCCAGAAAGGCACAAACGCTTCAGAACAAATGCTTGCTGTATTTATTCCCTCCATGTTTCATACTATTAGAGTCAGTCTCTTTAGATGAAAACAACCAAAAGAACCACAAGATAAAAGTCCTTTTCCTTGATTTATTTCCTTTCAGATTCCTGGCTTTTTTTTTCATCTCCTGTTTCTCTCCATCATATTTGGTTCCTTTCCTCATAAGAGCAGGATTCAATTCTATAAAATGTTTTTTTTTTTTAAGATTTTATTTTTTTATGAGAGACAGAGAGAGAGAGAGAGGCAGAGACACAGGCAGAGGGAGAAGCAGGCTCCATGCAGGGAGCCCTTATGTGATCCCTGGTCCCCAGGATCAGGCCCTGGGCTGAAGGCAGTGCTAAACTGCTGAGCCACCGGGGCTGCCCATCTATAAAAGATTTTTAAATTGAGTCCCTGGGCTTCAGGGATAGGGATAGGGATAGGGATAGGGATAGGGATAGGGATAGGGATAGGGATAGGGATAGGGATAGGGATGGGAGGAAGGAAATAGTACAGGAATCTCTTCCCAACTGTTTGAGTTATCCCCACCTGATATCCTAATATATGTGAATTTCTGTCTAGATGTCACATTAGCAATCTGAGAACATCAGTGTAAGTTCACAGGAGCGGCTGCACATTCCTGTTGTGATTCTTTGGGAAAAGAAGGGAAATGTTACTTTAAGGGAAAGAGGGAGGAGAAAAAGAGGAAGAGAAGAAGGAGAAAGGGAAATGAACCCGCAGGCAGAATAAAATAAACTCTTGGCATAGATAATGAAAAAACACATTCCTTAGAACTGCATGAAGGTTGTTGTGTAGGTGAGGAGAATTGGGGAGCATCTGGCTTCAGGGTATCCCAGTAGGGCTGCGATTAGAGTTGGATACCCCTGGGCATTGAAGAGGGAGTTCGAGCAGAGCTGGGAGCAGAGCAGCGCACATTACCCACAGCCTTTTCCACCTTAACCATTCAAGTTATTCTGCCCCTGGGAAAAAAGCAGAACCTAGGGACAAAATCTGGGCAATGGAAGCTGCAATCTCTTACAATCATTTAAAAAAAATGCTGTAAGCATCTGGAAAGAGAACCAGACTCAAGAAACAAATGTCTTGAAAGAAAGAAAGAAAGAAAGAAAGAAAGAAAGAAAGAAAGAAAGAAAGAGAGAGAGAGAGAAAGAAAGAAAGAAGAAAGAAAGAAAGAAATGTCTTCTACTGGGCATACAAAACAAAACAAAATGTGCAAAGATTGCTTTGAAACTTGGAAGAAGTAAAATCCTGAAAAGCTGTTAGTGAACAAAAGATGGAAAATGGGAATGTAAAGAACTAGACTCATTATTTCTCATGTGAGATGCATAAGACTTCCTTGTTGTGTCTTTCCTTGTTGGGGCTCCATCATTCTATTTTAGTGAATGTAACTAAGTGCTTTCATATTTCTCCCCTGCCCTCAAGTTCCATATTCTCATAGTCTCAAATTCCATAAGAGGTGATGATAGAAATAGCTAATTTTTTTTTAGAAATAGCTAATTTTTTTAAAAGTTTAAGCACACTGTATATAAATTTTATTTAATCATCAAAACCATCTCCTGAGAAAGGAGCTTGATTAACTCTCAGTTGCAGGAGACACAAATGAGCTTCAGAAAAAAGTAATTGGCCAAAGTTATACGGTAAATAGAAGAGGAAAATCCATTCTCCTATTTGTTGTTTTATCACCCCAATCATACATTCCTCTATTGTGATGTTTTCACAGCTACAACCCCTAGGATTACAAAGAAGGTATGTCTCAAAAGGCCTTTTGAAAATTCTCCAATGTGTTTTTTTAATCAGACAAAAAGCCTTGTGTGTGTATGTATGTATGTGTATATATATATATATTTATATATATATTATATATGATGGCTTCTGCTCACAGAGAATATTTTAGTTATATATGCAAGACATATGTAGTCCAGACAATGTAAGATCATGTATTTTAAAAGTCCTAAGTTTGATATACAGGAGATTTTTTTGATGATTTATCTAGGGAGAAATCATATTGCAGCATTAACATCTCCTTTGCCCCTGGACAGACAGGCAGTCAGACACATTACAAACACACACTATTGTATATATGTAGATACAAGTTAAAATGATTGAGGATAGTCTTACAAGGGACAAGGAAAGATAGAGCGGACACAAACTGAACTAGCATATGCTGAGAACTTTGAAGGTAAAAACCCCTGACCCAAACCTGAAACCCGAGGAGACAGAAAGAATTTGGGCATCTTCGGGAGGTGCCCAGGGGTCCTGGAGTTTAGGCTGCTGGGGCCCCTGAACCGCCTTGGGTCCCACCTTCGCCAACACTGGTTGGTCAGCTCTTCAATTCTGTGAACTGCCAGGCATCCTTAAGATCCATCCCCTTGAGTAAGCCAGCGCTGCCTTTGCCTCCTTGTACTTGAAAAAGCATTAGCAGGTCCCGAAAGGAAGGAAACACCATGGGACAGTGAAGGTGACCGCAGGGGCAGCTAGCAGCCCAGGCTTAGGGAAGAGGAGCAGAAGGGGGGTGGTCACTATAAGTTCAAAGTGCTCGGGTATGGAGTCCCTCTTAGCTTCAGCTGAGGACCTCTCCTCTCCAGCTTGCCCGCTAAGTTCAAAGCATGATCCCTGACCTTGAAGCAGCACCGCCATTCAGGTGATTCAGGGCAGATCACTAGTGTGGAATCTCAGCCCTACCCCCCACTCCACAGACCTACTACATCAGAATCTGCAGTGTAACATGGTCCCCAAGTGATGGGGTGCATATTAAAGTCTGGGAAAGACTGATTTAGGCAAGAACTCCGACTAGCTCTAGCTTGATTATGCTTAGAGTATCCTCTTAATATCATTAAGTGTTCTGTTTAAGGGTTAAAATATATGACTCAGCAAGTTGTTTCTTTTCTACTGATGATGAAGTTTACCAGCACTTGACCTCAGTTTTACTGGATCCCAATCTTGCTTCCAAGGTTACAGACTCAAGGGTCTCAAGTTCTCCAAAGGACCACAGAGTTGGCGACATATTTCTCCTCCCAGAAGTGCTTTTCTTCAACTTCAGGAGCAGCTGAATCTCAGAAACAACACTTCCGGCAGCACATTCTTCATGGAGCTTGCTGCTGGTGGACTTGTCTGTTCCTCCACTCCCAATCCCTTTCAGTTTAGCAACATTGTTTTCTAGAACTCTGGGTGGACCCCACAAACAGCAGCAAAGAAGCAAGATCCAGAGAAAACAGGAAAGGAAAATGAGAACTTCTGAGTCCTGGGAAATAAGGAACATGAGTGCCTGGCTCAGGTGGTGGAGGCTAGGGAGCTGAGTGGTGAGAAATGTTCCATCCTTTTGGGCACTAGAGAGCACAGACCCAAGACTGGGACCTAACAAAACTACTGGGTTCCTAAAGAAAAAAAAAAAAAAAAGTCATTGATTCCAAACTGTGAAAAGAAGATCAAAACAACAGGAAAGTGTTGTCCACAATTTGTTTTAATCCTTTGTCTGCAGTCTAGGTGGCTCAGCAGTTTAGCTTGCCTTCAGCCCAGGGCATGATCCTGGGGACCCGGGATTGAGTCCTGTGTTTGTGTCGGGCTCCCACAGGGAGCCTGCTTCTCCCTCTGCCTGTGTCTCTGCCTCTTTCTCTGTCACTCCTGGATAAATAAATAAATAATCTTTTTTAAAAAATCCTTTGTCTGTATGAACCTCTGCCCAAGAATCCCTTCTGAAGAGAGCCCCTTACGACAGGAGCCCTACCTTCTTGGAATACAAGTCTGAGGTGGTTTTACTGCAAAAGTTGGGAGAGAGAGAAAAGTAAAATTAAAGAGAAAAACCCACAAAGTCCAAAACTGGGACATCTGAAGGGGAAGAAAGGAGAATATGGAGGCTCAAGGACCCAATAACTTCATCTGTAAGTAAGCAAAACTAGTTTCTTTTTTTAATTAAGATTTTATTTATCTATTCATGAGAGACAGAGAGAGAGAGAGAGAGAGAGAGAGAGTCAGAGACACAGGCAGAGGGAGAAGCGGGCTCCATGCAGGGGGCCAGACACAGGACTCAATCTCAGGTCACCAGGATCACACCCTGGGCTGAAGACAGCACTAAACCACTGAGCCACCTGGGCTGTCCTCAAAACGAGTTTTTTAAAAAAGGTTTATTCACTCATTTGAGAAAAAGAGAGAGAGAGCGCATGAGTAATAGGGGCAGAGGGAGAGGGTGAGAGGATCCCAAGCAGACTCCAGGCTGAGGATGGAGCCCAGTTTGGGCTCAATCCCAGTGCCCCAACCAAGATCATGACCGGAACCAAAACCAAGAGCCAGATGCCTGACCGACTGTGCCGCTGAGGTGCTCCTAAGCAAAGCTAGTTTTAAGGAGATTTGCTTGAACCATAAATCGGACTGATGTAAACTGCACATGTTCACACCCCTAGAAGATTCCATTCCTGCTTGAGCCTTTCTGGAACATGGACCAACTATTGTTGATGCTTCACCGCGAACATGAGGATTTTGAGTGACACTGTTAAGAATTAACTGATGGGGGGAGGAGGGACCTGGGGTGGCTCTGTTGGTTAGGCATCCACCTTCAGCTCAGGTCATGATCTCAGGGTCCTGGGATAGAGCCCTGCATTGGGCTCCCTGCTCAGTGGGAAGCCTGCTTTTCCCTCTCCCACTGTCCCTGTTTTTGTTTTGTGTCAAATAAACAAATACAGTCTTAAAAAAAAAAAGAATTGATGGCCTACTCCCTGCTGTGATAATGGGGCAGTGTGGGGGGGTGCTCCTCATACCCAGTTACTTGATTAAGGTCACTACTCCAGGGAAAATTGTCCCTGTAGCACTAAAATGCCACAATATGCAGTAGGCACAGATCTCAGAATGTCTGTAATTCCACAAATAGCTAACTTTTCTCCCACAACATCAACCCCTCTTCTCCACACACTACAGATCCTCTTCCTAACTGGAGAGGAAGAGGAAGACGCTAGGTGGGAATGAGGGAAATGCTGGTAAGGTGTCTAAGAGCTCACTTCCCAATGGGTTCTAAGGACTGAAATGAGAGACAGGACAACAGAATCTCCAGGACAGTTTGGGGGTTCTGAGAACAGAGGAGATTCTCTGCTTCTAACCAGGAACCCCTGGAGCCGCAGAGTTGTTCCGTTTGCCAATGGGATG